TTATGCAACCGTGATTATCTGAACGCGCATGTGTGCGCGAGTGGAAGTTGGAAACAGCCGCCCGCCAAATTTTTTGACATTAATGCATTGGGCATTAAACAATCCAGACAACAGTGTTAGCTGCCAGCCAGACTGATACCTAGTTTGGGCACATTAATGATTCACATTGCCGAATATTATTGCCAACTCGTTAATGAACGGTCACCTGACCCACGCTGCCTTGGGCCTCGCCAGAGACCTGAACTGCCGTAAGAGCTGGAAGATAGTATTGCAGGCACAAAGAAAGGCTGCAATAGCCATGTCTGGCTTATAAGCCGTCGTCAGAAAGCCACGCCCAGATCCGAGTTGTGCCCAAGTGGTTCAAGGCTCAAGGCCAAATCGAGGAAAATTTTCAAGGATAAAACTTGCCTTCCTCGGCCCCCACGTCTGCGTACAGACTGCTCACGCGATTTGGTGGCTTCTGCGGTGCCTGCATCCGGTTTGGATTTCCTAAATTAAAAATGAAAAAAATAATTGATTTCGTCAATTGAAATCCGCCAGCTTCATCTGATGCGCATAAACGTTGGTTTAAACAGTGCTTGTAAACATGTGTTTGTCCAAGCGGGGGCAAAATTGTACTCTTTCACCTGCTCTTATGAAGCGGGATACATTGGCCAAATAACGAGACACCAGGAAAAGAGGAAGCGTTGACGCATACCCGCCTGGTTGAATCGAGTACGAGTTCTTGTCAGGCAAAAGTAGTCAGTAAGAACAATTAGTTCGATCCTTACGAAGCCTTTTAGGTTGTCTAGGGGACAACAAAGAACGCATATACGGGTCTACTAAAATGGATGCTAGCAATGACCAAGGCTATACGGCTAGCGAATCTAATACAGGTGCTTGCCTTAGCGTGGGCGACCGCATGTAACTCCCTATCACCTATTGACAGTCGTTCACTCCATGTACTCGATGCATGAACATGGTTTGCAGTTTTACCTACTGTTTTCCCTCTCCCACGCCCAACGACTTTAACACGTCGAGCTTGCCGTGCGGGCGGTGAATAAGTAAAGATATTTAACAATAAACATTAAAAAATATGCTCCACTCCAATATTTTT